GTTTGATAGAAAGCATGCCATAAATCACTGTAATAAATTTAGAGCCTCATAAATGACCACTAAAATCTAAGAACGTCATATTACATACTTATAATATCTTGAAAAGTAAATGAAATCATTTTTGTAAATTTTATTGAATAACCTTTAAATTTGAGGAGACAATTTCATTTATTAAAGTAGATTTATTGATTGATTATTTCTAAATCTAACTTACTCAATTAAAAGCCAGAACAATATTATTTATTCTAAATCAACAAATATGGCATCTAAAAATGTTGAAATCATTAACAAGTCAAATAGAAGATAACTCAAATTCAACACTAAACTTGAAATTTATTTAGAATATATCTTTATGATAAATAGAAATAATGTATATGCATCTAATTTGCCCTGTAAAAATAGTTAAATTAGTTATTTTGTATCTCATGAAAAGTAAGATCAGAATTTAATAATATAATTTATTAATTAAATTAAATTATTTTCATCAATTGATGAATTCATGACTGACTCCTTTAGTAGGGGTTAGAGAAAACTTAAATCACATTTCAATTTGAATATTGCTGTTTATTTTTTTTATTTTCAAAAATTGATTGCTTTATTTTAATTATAGTTATAAGATTTTTTTATTTTCAATTAAAATTTGATAGAAATAGATATGGTTAACACGATTGTTTTTTCATAATAAAAATAATAAATATCACCCGTCAGAGATAGAGAAAATATCTTGTAAAATATAAAAAATGAGCATTGTGTCACAGCAGATTTAAACATAAATTGAAAAAGGATGTCAACTTCTTATGTTATTAAAAGTTTAATAGAGTAATAATTAAATTAATAATAAATTTAATTGATGACACAAGGAAACTTATCAATCAGATGAAGATCCAAAAATTAGAAAATTAATCAAAAGGGAATGAAATTAAAAGTTATACATTTAACAAGTGTTTTATCATAGATTAAAGAGTTTAAATTAAATGTGGATGCTAAATTTGATAAAATAACTAGTATTGTCCAATAGAAACTATTTTACATATTAAGAATTATATAGTCATAATATAAAGGAAAAAATAATGCTTTTGATATTTGTCGTAGCAATAATTACTTCCTATAAATTAATAAACTAATAATCTAAAATTTCTTGATTAAAATAATCCGTGAAATTTATGAATCATTTAATATTATAACATCCCTACTTGTAAAGTAAAATTCAAGATTTAATAAAGGTTACTCTAATTCATCATTTTATTTAATTTTTACTACATTAAATTTTCCTATTAATTTAATTGATAATTTCTTCTTATTTATTTATATGATAAATCATTTGTCACTCTAATCAGGAATGTGGAGATCAAGGTTCTCATTATAGGATATCAATAAAATATGTCTGGAAATTGAAATTGGATAGTAAGGACAATCCAATAATAACTGTTTCTATTGATATCCTTGCTATTTGTGTGGTTGAGTAGGATTTAAAATTGTTAACTAGTTTCTTCTACTTCCTCTATTCCATCCCTTATATGAAATCTCTCAAAAGAATCATAAATCATTCCATTCCTTACATCTCTTATCACTATTATCTTTACCATTCCTCTTTTGTAGTTTTAGATCATAATCATTTATGCAATATATAAGGCATCAAGCACATACAAATATTCTGGCTTTTTCCTCTTTTATGATCTTCAAATGGTCTTGTCTACCCTTAATAAAGGTAAGTTCTATTTATGATTATGAGTCAAATTTCATTGATAAAAATTTGTTAACTTTTTCATATACTATGAGGATGATGCCTTACTACGGTTCAGGCCCTATAAGCCATAG